CTCTTGTGAAAGTGATTAAATATTAAATAAAAAAAAATAGTTTTTCTTTGTTGAACTGAAGTAAAGTTGGACGTCAGTTAATGATGTTCCTTGACCTTCCCTTCTTCCTTCTCATAGGGCTCTTTTTGAGGCATTGAATATTCCCGTAGTGGGTGGATCAGCGGAATCGCGATATCTCACCATGGATAAACTCAGCACACGCGGTGTTTTACTTTCTTCCGGCAATGTTGCATGTGCTGATGGACTTATTTACAGTAAAGGTACGAGCAACACTCCCGCAATGGAGTGGACTCCTTCACCATCTTTCTTGTTCCACTGTTATTGTTTGTAAACGCGAATAATAATTAGGATCATCAGTTAGAAACTATCACAGAATTTGGGAAATTCTGTGTTAACCTAAAAGCGGAGCTCCCAAGCTCGTAATATCAATAATAACATAGAAGATGTGCATTTGTCAAGACTCGCCTGAGTCACCCCTCCCTTCGTTTTGATAGTCTCCCCTACCCCACCCGTGCAATCTGAAGGTAGATACGTACGCTCGGTTAGTCACGTGACAACCAAAGGAAAAGAGGTCGACCATATTCCATGGGTAGGGGGTTCTGCCCCACGCGCGCGAAGCGCGCGCGGGAGCCCCGCTATTAAATTTGTGACCACGATGACGATGATTTTGGCTCTTCTTCTTTGACGCACGTGTCTTATCATAAGATTATAACGAAAATACTAATTACTAGTGAAAGTGACTGAATTTGGATAATTTTTGTACCGCAGGCGACCCTCTACCTTCTACCGAGCAAGTTAAGTACCCATGTGTTGTTAAGGCAAGTAAAGGAGAAGACACAAAAGCAGTGCAATTGGTTAAAGACCCCAAGTTTCTCAACGCAGCTATTGAGCATGCGTTATCGTTTTCAGATCATGTGATCATTGAAAGGTGGGTATGCCTGTCTTTAGATTGTTTGCGAAATGTACTAAAATTTAGAAAGCGTTGACATGTTCAGTAACCAAATCTTTCTATTTCAGTTTATCATTTTTGCTTGAAAATATTCACAGTCGGTAAAAACAAATACAAAAGGGATAAGTATTTTCTATTCGGCGAGGAAGCTAGCATTCAAACCGCAGGCAATTAGCCTTCTGACTCCCTGCCTGAAATAAAAGTCACGCATATATGAAATATATGTAACGATTGATTTGAGGGAACTGCAACTCAAGAAAAGAAGTGAGCAAACAATATAAAAGACAGGAAAAAAGCAATTTTTAGTTATGATGTATCGAAAACAATCTAAGATTGCATCGGTTTTGCTTTCTACGTTCGTGCCTCCATTTAAACTTATCACATGTAAAGCTAAATTCAGTGTAATCTGACGAAGGGCTAACGCTCGAAACGTCCGCTTTAAAACTCTTTAAGATGGCCAATTTACATTACCAACTCAGTTGACAAAACCAAAATTACCCTGTTACTCCGACCGACGCAGCACCACAGTCACTTACCCGGCCCTTTTATCAAATTTCATGCAATATGGCTTGTTGGGTCGTTCGCATTTTCCGCCCACGCTAACGGCATGATTGTTGACAACAACCAAAGGGTCGCTTCCTGAAAGTACGAAGCAAACTCTAACGAATTGAAACACAACGTGGCATAAACCTACAAGTGTAACAAGTAGGCCTTAGACTTAATTCAACTTTTTATTAAGAATGCAAAGATTTAACTAATTTATGGAGCTGTCTTGACGTACTAAATAACGTTTGCAGATTTGTGCAGCACCTTGATTACATTCAGCGAAGTGGATCAGACAATGTACGTTCTAAAGTTAGAAAACTAGTCCCATTCTACGATAATTAACCTTTTTCTCCTTCTTTTCGTCATCCTGTTTTCTTGCAGGTTCATAGAGGGTCGGGAAATTCGCTGCGCTGTTGTAGAATCAGTAGCAACTGGAGAATTAAAAGCTTTGCGGTGCATTGAGTATAAAGTACGAGAAAACGACATTCGGACAACCGAAGACAAACTCCTCTGTGATAAAAAAGGGTTGCCTGTTTGTAAGTACTGGAAAGAAAGTGTCCTTCAATTCATCAACTAATATACCATTTGCGAAAAACCCTGAAAGACAATACCAGTTAAGTGTCATTACTGGAAAAATGTGCTACAAAGCTACATTTTTACGGCGATGCCAAATTTGGTGGGCTTTTAAAGAGACAATTTAATTGAAAAAATGGCACTTGAAGTATTCCTTATGGAGCGAATTATTCACCTTTAAAATACTGCTCATCACCTGAAACACGTTAGCCATCCAGGGCCGTAGCTAGCATGAGGCAAGACGAGGCAATTGCCTCGTCTTGATTTTGGCCTTTTTTCAAAATTTTTTTCTTGAAGATTGACTTTTCTGAAGAAAATTGCCACGAAAAATCCTTAAAAGAGCATTTCTGAACCTCTAGATTTCAAAATTTTCTGGGGGGGCATGCCCCCAGACCCCCCTAGCGGCTCGCGCCTTTGGCGCTCGAAATTTGCCTCGTGTTGTCTTGAAGTCTGGCTACCGCCTTGGCCATCAAGTATCCTGGTTGACACTCATTAAAATGTGCCTCGCTCCTACATCTTACCTCGCAGCTCATTGGATGGTTAACAACTATTCACCGAAGTGGAGGTGGTTAGTGGTGGATATTTACCGACCCGCGAAGCGGCGAGGTAAATATCCACCGCTAATCACCGACACTGAGGTGAATAGTTGTTTTAGTATATACTAAAACAGTGAGATAATATACACCACCACAAAATGGATTTGAGTGATTTTTACGCTTGTCACGGATGCAAACCGGGACGCCATTTTTTCCCGAGTTGCTCAGAGGTAAATAGCGAAGGATATTCGGAGTTTGACTAACCAATCAGAGAGCGCCTTCAACGCTATCCGCTGTTTTACTATATACTAATACTTAACAATTATTCGCCGAAGGCGAGGTGAATATCGTCGAATAATCCCCGAGACGAAGTCGAGGGAATTATTCGACAACATTCGCCGAACCTGAGGCGAATAATTGTTTTCGTGTAATTTCAGAGCTGAACAACAGAGAAATTTCTAAAATCATAACATTTTAGTAACATTTATTAACATTTCATTTCAACATTTTATAGAAACCGCGTGGAGCGGTTTATATAGCGTCATATGAGGAACCGCTCTACCAATCAGATTGCTGGAAACTCTTTGCTTCACTCTGAAATAATACTAATGCCTATTACTACTACAGTCGGGATATTTTAGGAGCAAAACTTCCCAGGCAGACAGAATTAACTGTTGACTCGTTCCTCCGTTTGTTTTCATTTCAGGCAAAGCTCCAGAAACTAAAACATGGTTCCTCGATCCCTCAAAAGAAGAGAAATTGATCCATCGTATTCAGCAGAAAAGCTGCTCTGCCTTTCGAGAGTTAGGTCTGCAAGATTTTGGTTTATTCGACTTTCGAGTCGACCTTCAAGGAAATCCATTTTTTTTGGAATGCAATTTGTTCTGTTCCTTTGGTCCTCAGAGCATTCTCAATATAATTGCTAACAGTTCAGGTATAACAGGCGAACGTTTATTTGACATGATGGTGAAGAACGCTTTGCTTCGCAAGAATGTTATTCAGTAAGTCGATGGGTCATTAAAGAAATTGTTTTCAGTGTGACAGAATGACATGTGTGATATACATCTGATGAGTGGTAAGAAATGCAGCTGCCTTCTCGTTCACTTTTGCACATTTCTTTACTATCCATCAGTTATTGACGCAAAGACCTAACCCTTGTGATTTGCAAAAAAAAAAAAAAAAAAGATCTGCGCGTAAGAGTTGGTGGACGGACGCTGGTTGAATGGCTTGTGTTCATTCCTTCCGACTAACCTCGGAACGAGTTTTTTGAGTTACTTAAAAAAAAAAAAAAAAAAACTATATGTTAGCGTATAGAGTGATGTGTTTTGGTGTAGTGTAACCTGATCAGTCCAATTTGGTTTATCTCTAAGCAATCTGATTTGCTTGGTGTATCTCAAAGCAATGTGATTGAAACCATCGAGATTGTAGTAGTTTTTGATGTCGCACCAATTAGAGCGTACTTGCTAATTTGTGGTTTGACAAGTCTTCAAATTTTAGCGAATCAACGCTTTACTCGAGGAGAGCGGTTCGCGAATTAAGGAAACGTGTCAGTCGTGTTGGGAAAGCGGTGGAGTTGTGATCGTTGTACGACTATGGTTATTCTTCGTTCTGATGGAGATCGAGTGGAACATGACAAAAATTTTGAATCAAATATTGCTTGAGATGTTGATGGGAGCAACTTCAGGATATTTCATTTCCATATATGAATTAATCAGCAATTCCATTTAGAATTTTGCTTAAAGAACGAGGTAAGAATGACATCTACAAGAGTTGTGAGTTCATCTATTCATTGTAAGGGTTCGTGTCTTTCGTGAGGACTTTATCGCTATGATCTGTCGGCATTAGAAAGGTCGTCAGGGAACTTTTTCTTCTATCACCAGGTTAAAACGTGCCTGTTTTGTGTACCGCTCTTTCACTTACGACGCACACACCGTTAACTAAAGGCCTAACACAAATTTAGCACCGACTGCGATGTTAATTATCCGTTTCATTGCTTCTAAAAGTTCTCCATTAATTAAATATTGTTTAAACGGTTCTTTCCCGCTACACCTGCGTGTTTACTTTTTATTCGCCGGTATAGACTAGACTTTCTTAGATGAAATACCATTTTCCAGTAAAGAACGTAAATTTTATGAGATAATTCTACCTCACTGAAAAATATTTCACAAGGAACATGATCGTACAGTCAGTCAATCTACCACGCAACTCTCACGTGCTTAGACGTTTTCTACTCTAAACAACCTGCATTTTATCACGAATTTCGCACGTACAGGGCAAAGTCCAAATGGCCAACAACCAATTAAGGAGCCCACATTGTTATGATTTGCAAAATGATTCTTTTCTCTTCGTTCAATCTATTTTCACTCGTTCCAAGAATGGAGACCGGAAAATATCTTTTTCCAGAGGCTGTAAGAGACAAAGAACAGTTTTCCACTGTAAAATCGTGTGGAAGAATATTTTGAGGTGACCAACTGTTATTGAACAAGGGACTATACTGAGGGAACGAATTGAAGGCTTTGCTACTTTAGCAAGATCGCTGTTGGGTGCTTTTCATTGTTTGTTAACATGGAGAGTTATGGAGAATAAGACTTTGGAACAAGTTGACACCATCCATGACGATTTGGGAAATACTAAAATCGCTAGAGGAAATGCGGGCTCCTCGATAAAAATATGCATTTGAAAGAGATGATCTTTGTTTACAAGGATTTCTTCCGCTTACATCTGATAATAAACCTCTAAAGTTTAAATGTATGTGGCAGTGACTTCCACAATCTTTTTTTGTTAGAAAAGTGTAGTTGTTTTGTCCGTAATAGTAATCTATTAATGGATCCTATCGCCAATGTCTATATAAGATAATTGCATTAATTAATCAAATTTTAAACCGATAAGCCAATGAACTTTTACTGTTCCCACTGTTGCTTTCATCAGTACGTTAACAATAGAAGTGATTCATGGTATTCAAATAAATAAGTTCACTCCAGAGATGAGTATGCGCAGCCCACACTTCCAGCCCGACTGACACTTGATGCCAAAACTCAGCCTAGTTCCCAGGCTACGTCCACCACATTGCTTGGCGCCAAAACTACTACCTAACGCCTATTGTGCATTTTCCTACACAGGAAAAACCAAACGGAATTTCTTATTCTGGCCCTTTATGGTCAGAGTAATAATTAGGACTGTCACTGACGAAGGAACGGCAGTAAGCACAATTAACCTACGAGCAGGTTGTTCTTTGGTCTCGTGATGCAACGTTGGAGAGAGAGCGTTACGTGACGAGTTCTAATTAGGGCTGTGGAGGGGAGTGCAGGAAGCGTGGTACCAATACAGTTTATTTTTTCCAACAATTATTCAGAAACCAGCATCAGTTACTTAGTGTCCCATTTCAACCCACATATCCAAAAAAATAACTCCTGCATGCGTTGCATGCCTATGTTTTCCCCACTATTCATGACTTAAAGAAGCTTTTGACCATTAGTGTCATCAAAGTTAGTTTAAAATTCTTTTATTTGCACCTTGCATTCGAAGCAGTTTGATCGGAGCAGAGGATCTAGCTTTTCTTGTGGTACCATCAAAAGACCTTAAAGACGGCCTTGAACGATATATTCAAGTAATTTTTTTTAGTTATTTTTTTTAAAAAAAGATAACTATATGTTAGCGTATAGAGTGGTGCGTTTTGGCGTAGTGTAATATCAGCGCAATTTGGTGTATCTCTAAGCACTGTGATTGGCGGATTTTTTTTTTTGGTGTATCTCAAAGCAATGTGATTGACGCAATATTTTGGTGTATCGCAAACCAATCAGATAATAGGATTTTTCGATGTCGCACCAATCAAAGCGTTCTTGCTAATTTGTGGTTTGACAGGTCTTCAAATCTCAGCGAATCAAAGCATGACACTGGGAGAGCGGTTTACGAATTGAGGAAACGTATAAGTCGTGTTGGGAAAGCGGCTGAGTTGTGATCATTGAACGACTGGTTATTTTTCGTTCTAAAGGAGACTGAAGGGAACATGAGAAAAATTTTGAATCAAATATTGCTTGAGATGTTGATGGGAGCAACTTCAGAATACCCGGCCAGTATTGACTGTTATGAATGGATTGTCCGCGCGGTCCCAATGTCGAAAAATAATATCAAAAGAGAGAACATTTAAACCAGTGGTCCCGCATTCAAGCTTTCCTGAAGTCGAAGAATGATAAAATGACATGGCTGTTTAACTAGTGCATCCGCAGTCCTGCGCTCAAGAAGTCGAAAAATGATATAACGAGAGGGCCGTTAAACTAGTGCTCCCGTAATTTTGCGCTTTTGAAGTCGAAGATAATTAAAGGAAAGGTGAAGTTTACCTAGTGTTGAAGCAGTCCCACGCTTACTTTACTTCGTTTTCTCGACTAAGGGATATTTCATTGCTTTACATGAATTCCATAAAAATGACGTCTACAAGAATTCTGAGCTCAATTACGTAGTGTAATGGCTGTCCTTCATAAGGACTTTATCACCATGATCTGTCGGGATTAGAAAGGTCGTCAAGGAATTTTTTCTACCAATTGCAAGTTAAAACGAGCGTGTTTTGTGTACCGCTTCTTCATTTATAACGCACACACCGTTAGCTAAAGGCCTAACACGAATTTAGCACCAGAGCGTGTTGTTTTGGTAGGGCTAGTTTTGATGACTTAGGTAAAACTTGCGCAAGGCATTTGCATAAATCATATTTCATTGATAATCTTGTGTTTTGCCTTGAGGCTGCTCTTTTTGTAAAGGCTGAAAATGCCACCAAGTTACATTTTCTTTCTGCGTCGACTGCCATGTTAAATATCCGTTTCTTTGCTTTTAAAAGTTCTCCATGAATTAAATATTGTTTAAACAATACTTTCCCGCTACAATTACGTGTTTACTTTATACTCGCTAGTATGGACTAGACTCCCACAGATGAAATGCCATTTTCCAGTAAACAACGTAAATTTTATGACATAATTCTACCTCACTGAAAAATATTTCACAAGGAACATAATGGTACAGTCGGTCAATTTTCCACGCAACTTTCACGTGCTTAGACGTTTTCTATCAATAAAATTTGCTCTTAGCTACCTTGGACTTTACCCCATTGCGTGTCAATCAGTTCCCTTTAAACAACCTGCATTTTATCACATATTTCGCACGCACAGGGCAAAGTCCAGATAGGCAACAACCAATTAGAAGCCCGCGTAGTTATGCTTTGAAAAAGGATACTTTTCTCTTCGTTCAATCTATTTTCACTTGTGCAAGTTGATGCCATCCATGACAATTTGGAAATACTAAAATCGCTAGAGGAACTGCTGGGTCGCCCCATAAAAATTTGCATGTGAACGCGATGACTTTGTTTATAAGGATTTCTCCTACTTACATCTAAGAACAAATCTCTTCAGTTTTCTTCTCCCCGGAACGATATATCACAGAAGGCATTTTATGGACKGCAAGTTTTTTGACTGATTGAAATTTAAGGTATGAGGCAGTGACTTCGACAAGTTTTTTTTTTTGTCAGTAAAGTATAGTTGTTTCGTCCGCTATAGTAATCTTCTGATGGATCCAATCGCAAAAGGTCACATAAGGCAATCATGTTAATTAATCGAATCTAAACGATCAGCCAATGAATTTTTTACTGTTTCTAAGGGTTCTTGTTTTCATCAGTACGATAACAATAGAATTCATTCACAATATTAGGTTTGTACTTTAAATAACTATATTTAAGTTCGCCCGAAAGATAGGTTTAAACCGTAACAAGCGTGGTTATGGGCTCGGCATTTTAAGGCTGACTGACACTTGATGCCAAAACTCATCCTCGTTCCCAGGCTATGTCCAGCACATGCTGCGTAACGCCTATTGTGCATTTTCCCGCACAGGAAAAGCCAAAAAGAATTACTGATTCTGGCCCTTTACGGCCAGAATTATAATTAAGGTTTTGTCTCTGACGAATAGGCACCAGTAAGCCTTATTATAGCCAACGAGCAGGTCCTTGTTTGGTCTCATCACGCAACGTTGAAGGGAGAGCGTTGCGTGACGGGTTCAAATTAGTGCTGTGGAGGGGTATCATTGCAGTTTATTGCCAACAATTATTCAGACACCAGCATCAGTTACTAAGTGTCCCATTTCAACCCACATATCCAAGAAAATAACTCCTGCATGCGTAGCATGCCTATGTTCTTACTGCGTCGTATCTTGGTCGCGTCGTTGCGTACTGTACTACCGAAAAAATTTGAATATCCGTTTTCTAAAAAAAACTATGAAATCGTAGCTGCATGCTTCTTTTTGATATTCTGGTCCAAATCCTCGCCGGCTTACTTTTTCTCTTAATTGAAACAGCCACTTGGCATTCACACAATGTCAAAAAAACGGAACAATCAGACGGAAGTTTCCTTTGAGAAGAAGAAAGTGTATTGATCATTGTTGCTACGCGTTCGCGTGATATAGGTGCTTCGTTGCGTGACTTGAATATTGCTTTAATACACTTCATCGCACCTTTATCGGCGCTCTGTAATGGCTGTCAGTTTGACTGCTACTTTCTTTTTTGATCTGGTAAGTCACTGAATACTGAAAAAGCCATCGCAGTGAAGCGTTTTCACAGGCCGCTGATGTAAATTTTACTTCCCGTTTTCGAATTCTCATCATATCAACTGAAGCTCAAACGAAGAATGCATGCTGATACAACCCTGAGGCGGGGATGATGAAATTGAAAATTCATCTTGGCTTTCAGTCTTATTCAACTCAAATGGGATTCTTT